TGGAGAGTGAAGGAAACCTAAGTCTGGAAGATCCAAAACCAGCATTCATATAATCTGTATATTCATTCTTACTCACTGACTCAAAATTATTGAGGCCAGAAAATGCCATAGCAGCCAGAAAAGTAGCATTTTCACAAGAAGGTCAACAATGGTGACCCTATGTTTCCACCGTGACAGGTACACTTTAGGCAGACCTTTTTTCCAGGGTTCAGTGATGGAGAGTGGAATGCCCTCTGCCTGCAGCCATGGGTGTTTCGTTAAGATTTGATTTTTAGCCAAAAATTCTATATTTGGAGATTTGGATGTTATATGACTCTCCGAATGGACATAGTAACGAATGTCAATGAATTGAAAAAAGCTATCATGAAATGTACTAATGCATTTGTTTCAATCAGATGACATCACATGACGCAACAGTAGTTCGAGCCCATGGGGAAATTAATTAAAATTTCAAATTTGTTTGATAATTCGGAGAACAAATGGATCCGAATTTCATTCCATTCGTTAATTCGGATGCACATGACGCCAGTTGATATTGTCCAATCAGCTCATGCCATTTCTCTTGGTGGGTTAGATTAGTGTTCGAAAATCGAATCTTCCTATTTGATAATATATCGAATACATAGCAATTTCAGGAACAACTGCAAAATTTCTCAAATCTACCCAGACCAACAAATATATGAAACAAATTCCAAAAATGAATCAATTCAACATTATGAATACGACAATATGAAATTCTTCATAGAAAGAATGCATCAAAAATGAAACAAAAATTTCTAGCGTGAACATGTCTGTTTGGTGCTTTTGGAGGATCTGCATTAGGGCAGGAAATGAATCAAAATCTCAGTGGGGACACAGACAGTGACAGAAACATATAGCTGTCTATAAATTTTAGATCTAACTTCCTCTCCTGGTGACCACAATTTACCCAAAAAAAAAAAAAAAAACTAATACGCTATAAAAACAGTTTTGGCTGAAGTCCCACTTTAAAGTGAGCAAAATGGTTAATGATGAAACATCAACACTGGATGAAGATTATCTCAGCTGGTCACCATTATCCTACCAGGGCTAATCAGGCCCAGCTCCACCCACTGTAGGTGCTTTAAATACAACCCCCACCAGGTTGTGTAATGGTCTTCATGTGCACCTTGGAGAAGGTGTAAGGTGAGTGATTTTTGCTGGGAACTGAAAGTGTAACTAATGGCTGTACGGGGTTTTTTTTCTTTGCCCAAATTTTGGATAGTGTAACGGAGGGTTTTAGCCTAAACCCACTCCCTATATTATTTATTTTTTAATCTATCTTCCATAGGGAGGCTATCCCTTCATTTCCTATCCCATAACTGGGACATCCCTCCAAAGTAGGGGGACCCTGGGATGTCAGTGGGGTCACAGAACTAATGTACCCATTGGAGGATTTCTCTTCTTTCATGTTCTGGAGATAACCCACAAATGGGGACAAAGAAAATAAAAAAAAAAAAAACTTGACAGCTGTTATAATACTTCCACTCTAGCTAAAAAAGCCTTTAGTTACAATTTTTTTTAAATGGATTTTTTTTTTTTTGCAATAACTATGACTTGGGTTTCTACTTGCAAAAACCTTGCACTGCATGGAGTGGGCTTGTGGAATCCCAGGTTAATGGGAGTTGCTGTGTTGGATATGAGCATACCTGGGTCAAGTTGATGGGTCTTTAAGCAATCTAATCTGAATCTGTGATCCCTCAGAATATATGGGCTCCTCACTAACACCCTGGTCATGCTGGGTGTGACTTGGCATGTGATTTGTGAATCATATGCCAGGTCGCACCCTATTGTCTGCACTTAGTGGTCTAATCAGTGTGGTTCTGCCTTGGTAGGAGCTGCACCAATTTCTAAAGTAGTGCATGCACTACTTGCCATGCGATTTGCAAAGACATCTGTCAGATGTCTTTCAAATCTTACCTGAAATTGGCATGTCCCCTGACTTTGAAATTTGTGTGACTTCATTGTAAGTTGCATGATTTCAAAGTCTGGGCTTGATTTGACCGGAGTGTTAATGAGCTGTGTAAATGTTGTATTGTGCTGAATTCTTCAAACTATGACTTTTGGTTGCTAGGACAGATCTAAACCTGAGGAATGTTCTGTTTGGGTTAGGAGTCCCTTAAGATTCTGATATGTCATTCTTGTTGTGGTTGACCATGAATATGTAAATGGCTGATACTCATAGCCGTAAGCTTCTTTCCCTAAGACCAAGTTCTTATGGAATCTTGATAGGACACATGTCGTTTATCTTGTCTAGTAGAAAAATGTGCCTATCTCCAAGCCTGTTCTGGGTTCTAGTATAGAACATCTATTGGTGGTAGAGATGGTATACCTGGGGGTGTTGACACAATCCTCCTTGGGGTGGTTTTTTTTTTTTTTTTTTTTTTTTTTTTTTTTTTTTATTAAAATGTTAAAAGCTGGTTGGCTACCATGCAGAGCTGCACTAAATATTGCACTTTCTAGTCTTAGTAAATCAAACCCATTGCCAATGAAAGATGCAAGATGGTTTACATATACAGATATGGGGCTCCTGTAAAACTGGGCCTGCTCTCTGTGGGTGGGTGTTCCCCCTTCGATTTAAAGATGTAACTTCTGGAAGGTCTGGATAGTCAATTCTTCAGGAGAATAAGGTCTCACTTGTAAATGGATGAAGATTAAAAAAAAAGCTGCCTGGCAGGATCTGCTGCCCTGCATCAGTGGGGACCTACCAGCACTGATGTATATTTTGGTGAACAAAAACTGAACTCTGATGAAAGATGTGTAGGCTATTATTGCTGACCTCTTGCCTGAAATGCTAACTGCTTGGCTGACATGCTATTCCAATTTACTTATATTTTTGCTCCTCCACATGTATGCAGGTGAGTTACTAGCTGGTGTTTCAGGTCAGAAACTGGATGACATTGGCGGCAACAGCATGGAAACCAGGGAACTAGCTTCTTCAGGCCATTTATATTAGCCTTTGTTATTAGCACAGATCACTTTTAATTTGAGTAAATGTATGACTGTCATCTCTAACTTTCAGATGATTTTCAAACTGGTCCTGGTGTTGTCCATAGCACTTGCTATTAGAGGTATGTGGTTTTCCTGAGATTCTTCTTTCCTTTTTAAAGGGGCTATGGTCTGACTTAAGGCACATGTTGCAAATTGTATACCTAGAACTGTCTTAAAGCTCAACTCCAGCCATTCAATTTTTTTACTTTCTTGCAACAGTACATTTATTTGTCTTCCTGTCCTGGTGACAACCACTTCCTCTTCCCATATGGGTTTCACAAAAACAAGGAGGGACATCTTCTCAATGGGAGTCACAGGAAAATGGATTTTTTTTTCCTCTCCACACTACAGTAGTAAATGACCTGATTTTATTTGGGTATGGATATAATGACCCTCTTTGATATCTACAAATCACATTTCAATGTGTATGTGAGATGTCTGTAACAAGTATTTAGTGTTACATTTATTAGGCACGCCAGCTTGCACTGCATAGTTAACATGCTCAAAGGACCACAACCAACATCCACCAGGTATTGGATTGTTTTGGCCATGTAAACTCTCCATCTGTGAAGATGCACTCAAGTCAGCGGTGGCGGCTCCCACAAGTTCCCTTAAATTACAAGCTGGCTCTGGGGGCCATCACCCTGTTAAGTCCTATTAGAGCAGTGGGGCCAAAGCCCTACTTCTATATCACAGGAGTGCAGTTTGTTCTGCACTCCTGTGACTGGTTTTCAGCTTATAGCTGGCTAATGTCCACTGACATCACTCAGCCGGTTCAGGTACTGGGCTAATCCTGACTTCTCAGTTGGGATCCAATGAGAAGCCTGGACAGGCAGCTGGCTTAGCCTATCAGCAATCTGTTGGGGGACTGTAAAGCCCCCCCATTTTCATCTGGTGATCCAGACAGTCTGGTTTTTCAACAGAGCAATCTCTTAAGCAGAATATCAGTTATGAAACAAACCATTTAAAAATGATCATTGTAAGCACCCTGTTAATGTAAGACTTTTATGCCAAAATGATAAAACTGCTGCAAATGCATTATAACATGATGAGCTGGAGTTTCAATTAGTTTTAGTGCATTTAAATCTGCTAGCTCATCCAACACGTCCATCCCCCCCCCCCCCCCCCCCCCCCCGACTGAATGCTGCCCCTTCTCTGAATGGTGTTACTGGTCAGATCACCAGGTGAAAAATGACAGAAAACTAAAGCCATCACCATATCTAATGATTGGTAAACTGCAATATTAACGCTTTTGGTTTTGAGTTTAAACACCCTGGTTACATTGGGTGCGATTTGCATATCATGCAACTTGCAAATCGTTATGCCAAGTCTCACCCTATTGTCTGCTATTAGAGCGGTCATATTGGTGCGGTTCCAACTTGGTCGGAGCTGCACCAATTTCTAAAGTGCATGCAGGTCTACTTTTGGTGCAATTTGCATAGAAATCTGTATCAGATGTCTTGCAAGTCACCTGCTTTTGAAATCATGCAACCTCACTGTGTTGCACAATTTCAAAATCTGTTTTGATGTGACTGGGGTGTAACTCAGCTTTAAGTGAGTCAGACCTAAAGTGACAGAGGTGTCTTTGAAAGTGTTGGCTGTCATGCTTGGTGAGAAGGCTGAATCTCTCCCCTGGAACAATTTATAATCGGCAGCAGCCATTATTATACTGCATGCTTGTTGCAGGTCTGACTGAAGTAGTAAAAGGCAATTAAATTTGCAAAATGGATCTGCAGTGGCAGTTATTCTCCCTCTGGACAGGCACTGTAGGTATGCAGAACAGGCAGTAAGACCTGGACTTTACTAGTTGTGTGCATTCTGGGAATGCAATTGGCATTTGTCAGTATTGGGATGAAGAGAACTTGATGCTACCTTGGCATGTCATTGCTCAACCATATTTTGTGTGGGTTCAGTTCAAGGTTTTTCTGCTTAAAAAAAAAAAAAAAAAAAAAAAAATTGCTAATGATGGCACAAATGACAATCTATAACCCCTCCCTCTTGGTTTTTGTCCAGCTGAGGAGGTCTGCTACAACAGGCTGGGATGTTTCTCAAGCTTCCCACCCTATTCTGGCACACTGGCCAGACCGGTCAGTCGCTTACCATGGGCACCAGCGGTGATTGATACTCGATTCCTGCTTTTCACTAAAGAGAATCCACACCAATTCCAAGTAAGTATTTTCCCCTCTTGTGTACAGCCAACTTTCCAAAGAATGTTCTATTTCTGTAGAATACTTGAAACCTCTCAGGTCTTTGCTTTTGTATGTCTCCATTGGGTAGGTTAGCCCTAACTGGGTCAAAATACAAAATGGTAGTTGTGGGGGGGGGGTGCAAAAGCATTACAATTCAGTTGGCACCCTTGCTGAACTGGCTTTTTGAAAGCTGGCTGCTGTTGGCTGGCATGTATTACAATGTGTATGTTGGGGGGGTGGGAGGAGTGTACCAGTCAATGTCATGGCAGCACATGAATTGACTTGCTGCATCTGGTGTCTTCCGGTTTGCACGAACAAGGAAGATTTTGGGAGGGTAATCAAACATGTGGACATAATCTTGTGTATGTAGATGTATGTCTTGGGGAAATGGCAGTCCATCAAATAAATTCAGATGAACTGACATTTTATGAAACTGTTTCTACCATTAACTTGCTCTCTAGCTGTCATGATCCCTTTTTATCAGTGACCTGACCTGTTCCTGTATTCTGCAAATGAAGTAAATTTACATTCTCACTTGCCTGTCTGGTAGGTCCAGTTTACTTGCCTGCCACTACATGTCTCTCCTATTATAGCATGATGACAGTTGTAATTAAGTGGTTCCCATTTTGGAAGTTTTTTTTTGTGATGCTATGCTGTAGTTGGTGACAATATGACCATGATCCCATTATTGCATAGTGTTCAGTTCCCTCTGTCCACAAGCTCCCTCCTGGTATCTTAATGATTTCTTTTCCTCTGTAGTTGAGGATTTTAGGATCCATTCCTTGGATTATTTTTGTAGTAATTTGGGTATGGTGTCAATCTGTTACTCTTTGGGAAGTGGATAAAACAATTTATTAGAGGCCATATCATACAATTGGCTTCCAGACAGCATAAGGAATAGGACAATCAAGGCTTTGGAACATAAGCTTGAAAGGGTTACAGTGCTGTTTAAGTAGTCTCAATGGCTGAGCTCCAACAGAAGGGGATTGTCTTCTTACAGATCTCAATCTGTCTGAAGCTGAGCATCATTTGATCTCATCAGAAGTTTTATGGGAATGGCAACAAAATGGTGACCATGTTAGCTAATTTTATGATAGTTTGGCCCTCAAATTCAATTATACTCAAACTAGGAAATGTCGTCTGAGAACCTCTAATCCCAGGCATATAGTGGATGAGTTCTCGACTTTCAAAACGTTATGCTTGCTTGGGGGGATACATTCCTCCAGAGACTCGTTTACCTCATATAACAGACAATCAAAGGGACATGTTGGGTGCTGATATTACACAGGACAAGCTTCAGCAGACTTCAGTCTTTGAAGGTGCATAAGTGTGCTGGCCCAGATGGTTTTACAGCTTTTATAAATTCAGCAATGTTGCAATTCCTTTTTTTTTTTTTTTTTTTTTTTTTTTTTTTTTTTTTGCCCAGGTATTCAATCTGCTTAAGCAGGATGGTCAGCTGACTTCAGAAGTGCTGAATGCTCAGATTGCTGATCTTTTCCCAGTTTAGGAATCCTCATAATTGTGGTCAAATTACTACCCTATTTCTCAAATGTGAACATGAGAGTTCTGCCAAACTCTGGCCAATTGACTGTTAATCCCTACCTTAATTGAGAAGGATCAAGTGGGTTTTGTTCCTCGGCACCAAGCAGCCAATATTCAATCCTCTATTTTTAATTAGTAATTTTGCTCACAAGCAGTCCTGTGATCTTATGTTCCTGTATTTGTAAATAAGCCAGGAAAGCACATCAAAGGCTTTAGTCATATCCAGAGGGCCTTGCAGAGGTGGGGTGTGGGAGATGATTTTCTTCAGTGGATTCATAGACTTTATAGTATTCCCTCCATTATCACAGGGTTGAATCCTGTCTCCAATTAAGGGTGGTATGTGTCAGGGTGGTCTCCAGGTCTCCTTTTCATCATGGCCCTGGAATCCCTTACTGGTCACATTTGACTTCATCTGGACATTTCGAGTCTTGAGTTGGCAGGATTGCAGCAAGATTGCCTTTTTGCAGACTATATTCTGATGTATCTCGTTTCTCTCCCCAGTCTCATCACTTCTGACTGACTTCACTCATCTCTCAGGATTGCATGTAAATCCTACTAAATCAGTAGCTATGACCATTTCCCTTCCCCAACTGCTTGGGACACCTTCAATCCCAATTTCCATTTCAATGGACTTCTCCCTTAATTTGGAGTTACTTGCACCTTATTTGTATAAGGTTAATATTTCTCCTCTGCTTTCCCAGCTAACCAGTCAATTGTACTGTATCTTTTATGGACTTTTTTATCATGATTGCCACCACTTCAAAGGAACCCTTGCATTTGTGAATGTACCAGGCTTTACCAAATGCCAGGGATGTGGTACACAACTTTCAGGGAAAGGGAAAGTCTCTGGTGTGGCTGAAATACAGTGCTTGTACACAGCTCATGCTACTACAGTATTGCAGCCAGTCTGTTCTGGTCTAAATTTGTTTAGACCATGCTGGCCCAAATTGGTGTCAACCTTGAATCTCTAAAGGCTAGTTTCAGATGGCTGCAACTCTCATACCAAATTTGTGTGGTCATGGCAGCCCATTTGAAGGGGCTGCTGTGCCTGTTTCCTGAAGGCTTTTCCACCACAACTTCTGTGTAGGAAACCACACTGCATTTTTCAGTGCATGGGTGTTTTGTCAATCTCACCCCTGGTTTCTGTGCAGCTGTGGGAATGCATGAGATTCACATGTGCACCTATCTTTACAAATAAACATTTTAAAGCCCCTTTAAATGCCTCGAATAAATACATTTGACTGCATTAAAGCTGATAAGCATATTTCTTCCAGGTGATCAGCGCTCTCAATGTCTCCTCAGTCTCTCACACCAACTTTAAACCCAGCCAGAAATCCATATTCATCATCCATGGCTTTGTGGAGATGGGAGACAAGCTGTGGCTGGTAGAGATGTGCAAGGTCAGTGTCTGCAGGAAAGGTCCTGGTCAACTGTTCTATAAAGTGTTTTTTGGGTTTTTTTTTTTTTACCTGTTTGTTCATTCTTGTAGGCTCTCCTAGAATTGTCAGATGTGAACTGTTTCTGTGTAGACTGGAAAGGAGGATCATTTGCTCTCTACACACAAGCATCCAACAATGTCCGTGTAGTGGGGGCAGAAATTGCCTATTTCTTGAACACTTTGCAGGTAGGTACCATGCTGGGAAATCAAACTTGGGCTGAAGCTTGTGACTTCATTCTGGGTCTCTTAAGCTCTTGACACTTTATATCTGTATTGTCATATTGCTGCATTATAAGAACCTGGTTGCATTATTTTCAAATGTTAAAGCTTGGAAAGTTTTCTCTCTCAGACAGCGTACAACTATGACTTGAATGATGTGCACCTGATCGGGCACAGTCTGGGGGCACACGTTGCTGGCGAAGCTGGAAAGAGACAGAGGGGAATCGGAAGAATTTCTGGTAGGTGTGGTGGTCCTGGTGCTTTGTTCAGTTGACTCTAGCATTAAACCTAGAGGACCAGCAGGTGTACACTTGGGTCAGCTATTCTATTGAGGGAAGCTCAGTTTTAGAGGTGATGGATGTGTTGCCCTGAACCACTTTCAGGGCCCCATATTGGGTACATAAATGTTGCCTAGTAGAACCACCAAGCCTAAAAGTGTAGGGCAAAGCCAAGCAATGGCCAACATCAACAAAATCCATAAATGGAGGCGTGACAATATCTACTCTCCCATCTAGTCATAAGATTTACATGGCTCTTCCACACAGGACACCAATCTCAGGGCACCTTTGCAGCAGTTAACAATGCAGATCTTCTACCATGCCCAGCATGTCAGACAATTTAAATGGGGAAGTGGCAGACCAATGAGCCAGCTTGCTACTCCTATCAGCATGTTTCTTGTTGACACGTGGCAATTGCAACTGGCTTATATGCTTTCTATATTGGCTCTGCTGTACAGGAACCAAGACTTCAGACATTTGCACTGCTTAGTCATTTTGTGTGAGGTTTTTATGAATTGTGGACAGAGCTGCATCTCAAATCTATCTGCTGCTACAAGTAGCCATAGATTTCATTTATACAGCTGTGGGCAGGACCACTCACCATGCTTGTGGGGTACCTTCCCTGCATGCATGAGCTTACCAGTACTTGGCATCAGGGGCAGGCTGCATTCAGGTGGAATCTACCTTAAGGCAACTCTGACTTGGAGACTGTAGTACTTAAATCTACAAAGTTCCTCTGACACTTGGTCAAATTTTACTACAGTTTGTCTGATTTTGTAGCAGAGTTTTCAGGGACACCACTGAGCCCATGTCCCTCAACCTGTCAGCATACTTCTGCCACCTTACTTCCAGTGATAGACTGAGCTAACATTGAGCACTAGCACACAGATCTCATGCTTTCCTCTTCAACTTGCCAATTTGACACTTTAATAGTAGCCTTGCTTCATACCAAATGTGATCTTACAGGCCCAAGTTCTTTCATATGCCAGAAACCTGCAAGTACTCCCTAAGTAACTTCAGACTGGGTTTTATGGAAAGCAGTTCAATTAACTTTTTAGGAAGTTCCAAACAGTACAAGCCTAGGTTCAGTGCATGCATTCATCACTAACTATTGTGGCTGCCTGCCCAGGTGTTTTTTTTTTTTTATATATATATATATATATATATATATATATATATATATATATATATATATATATATGCTCCTGGGAAGGTAGGGTCTGACAGCCGGGGGGGGGGGGGGCACAAACTGGTTAATCCATTCCCCTGTCTGGGCCAGCTACTCAATAATTAGTGTAGGAAACCTGCCTACAAACTGCATAAAATGTAGTATTTGTCATTCTGTCCTTGCATGAAGGAAGACTTTTTTTTTTTAAATGGTACAATGCAGCATACCAAACATCTACACTTGTGGTGTGCTGTTGACAATCTATAATCAGCAATAACCAAATATGCTCATTCAATGGAGTTTACATACCAGTGTCCCTTTTTAACTTTTTTCACACAAACTTGTTCTCACAGGACTGGATCCAGCTGGTCCCTACTTTGAATACACCCCACCCTTGGTAAGACTGGACCCTACGGATGCTGTGTTTGTTGATGCCATTCACACAGATGGGTCATTCACTATGGATAAACTTGGTAGGTATGGCTTCTACAGTGTTCTAAAACCATTGATTCCAGAGTCTGCTTTTAGCAGCTAAGAGGAAAGGATGATCTGAGGACTCTATGCTTTAGTACTGACTGTCCTGCAAACACAAGCAAAGTTTTAGTTTACATGAATAGAACTCAACTGGCTTGGCATGGATTGCCAGAATTGACACCAACCTGAAAAAGTTCTTACTTCAAAGTTTGACATGATCCTCATGCTGCTAGAACTCCTTTCAATAAGCCAAGGGTTGAGTGGATCACTTGTGCTTTTTACAACTCTAGTGCAATGCTATAATTGGGCAACTGGCTATGGATCATGATCCTTTGTTTTTAACTTTTTTAGACAGCTGCTCCTTATACTAACTGGTGGTAGTTGCCAAAATACCCTTACATTGACTTTGCACAATGCTCAGGATTAAATGTAGAATGAAGCTAATAAACAGGACTATGAAAATTAAAAATGGTGAATCTGTCTTGTGTGGTACACTATCCCTCATCCATGGCTTATCAACAGTATGATCTAGTTGCTGAGTGACAGCTCTTGTAAAATTTAATAAATCTCTCCCAGGGAAGAATGCTAGTCACTGGCTTACCTTGGCATGCATTTGCTATAGTCTTTTGGCAAAATTGGATGTTAAAACTGGCCCATCATTAATTGGGAAGATATTGAATACTGTAACATGTTTTCTGTCAAGATGCCAATTTGTTGCCTGTGTACTACAAAGTTTGGGTTTTGGAAGACTGTTATTATAACTTACACACTTAACCACCACTGTCCCAACAAGGTGTTGGGATGTCACAAAGAACCAGCAAACACAAATGCTCCTGTGCTTGGGGATGGACTCTATTTAGGCTACAACGACATTAAGAATGTCCTGGAAAATGCACACCTTGCTGCCCTCAAATGGACCGGGAAAATCCAAATATACTGAATGGGGAAAAAACAAAGAGGGCGCACAGGCCTAGTGCATTACCATAAAATGTTTAATAAAAAATAAGTATGTGTTGTACTCACAAACGACAATATAGTCAAGGCACATCATAAAGAACAGCTGGGTCAACACCGCACTGAGTAACAGTCCACAATAGGGAGTTTAGACATACAAAAGGCTGATATGTTTTTGAGGACTTGCCTCTTCCTCAGAGCCCTGGGATGTCACAGGACTTGAATAACATTAAAACCTTTTTTATAGGTAGGCTTTTCCCACTAAATTTTACAAATCTGTTAAGGGCTTGTTTACACTAAATGCAGTCTTATCTGTAGTGCAAACCCATATGCAAGAAAATAACTTTTTAATGAAACTAGTTTTATGCCTCTACAACTTCACGTTTACACATAAATGCTTGCAGGACTATACACTGAATGCAGGGATTGTGCTGCAAGGAGCTTTTACTTGTGCAACTGCATTGGGTGTTTGGTCTTCTCTGATTTTGGTATAATTTTTTTAGGTTTTGGTGGATATGGCATGATGCACACACTTGGTAATGTTGACTTTTACCCTAATGGTGGTGAAGTGATGCCTGGCTGTGATAAAATCTCTCTTGGAATTGGAGATATTGATGAGCTTATTGAAGGTAACATGGATCCTATATGACTCTGCTTTGCTCTAGTAATTAAGTGATTATAATGGCATAACTTGCTTTTCAGGAATGATTGAGCATGTCCCCTGTAACCACCAAATGAGTGTTAAGTTCTATACAGAGAGCATTCTGAGGCCTGGTGGTTTCGTTGGTTACCCTGCTTCATCATATGGAGGTTTTCAAAAGGTAGGTCTTGATGCAGGTTCTTCACTGTGAGAAAATTAGTGTTGGGCAACTAGACAGACCATAGCGTGTTCATGTTACTATAACCAGTCTAGGAACACTGGACACAACATGAAGATGAACTTGTTCATTGATTCCCTTTTTTTTATTCCACCTTTTGTAGGAATATCTAAACTAATATATCAACTCTAGGAATTACAAAATCTTACCTTGTGTTCTGGAGGTAATGTAAGGGGACTCTTTAGTGGATTGAACACCTCCTGTCCAAGTATTTCCACTTCTGCAGACAAATTGGGACAACCCTTGTTAATATGGCAGATTACTTTCTTCTGGAAACCCAACTCTATAATGCCACTTGTTTGAAGGGGCTAAGGAGTTGGGGTTTGCCATATTACCATGCCTGTACTGTGCTGGCATCTAATCAAATGTAAACTCTTGTCAAATGCTATGTGCCCCAACAAAAGGTTCATTATGTAGAAGTTGGACTTGCTTATATCTTAATGGCAGAACTTGGTCAGTTCTTAGGCTTACAGTTTCAGTAAGTCTTTCCAATAAGGTCAAGACTGAAATCCTAAGACCTTTTTAAAATGTATATTAAACTCTTGTATGCTGTATTATGGGAACACTGAACTAGGGTGAGGGTTTTGACTAAAATATACTCTTAAAGTTCTGCTTGGTTTTTGTTCTCTATGAACAGGCATTTGTGGGGGAAATTTCCATCAATCTTGATTCAGAAGGCATGCAAGTAGGGCAGTAGTGGGAACTTTCCAAATCTGACATGTTTGGGGTGTCTTCACTCAATACAAATTGGTTCCATAATTCATTTGTTTGTTTTTTTTTTTTTTTTTGTTCCCCCCCCTCCTAGGGATCTGGGTTTCCATGCAGCAATGTGAGTTGTGCTTTCATGGGGTACAAGGCAGATGAATATGTGTTTGGTCATGATCAAGACTCTACAGACAACCAAAAGTTTTTCCTGAACACTGGAGGCCCTTCAAACTTGCTGCGTATGTTCTATCTAAAACTGGCTATCTCAGCACTACCACTAAAATCTCAACCACCTGGGATCACATGCATGTGTTTTAGTTTACATGGTTAACCTTTTTAATGGTGTGACTGAGGGTCCTTGTATAGGGATTATTGCAGGAATTTAAGGCCTATGGGGGCTGCTGTTATACAGACCACCTGCTTTTGGATACTGTATTCTGGGTTAGTAATTCAAATACAATGAAACCAGAAATGGGCAAGAAACATGCAATAGAATCCCTGTTCATGCCTTGTACTGGAATTAATAAGGGTATAGTATTGTCTGGGGAAGTTCTAGGCAGGTGTAAAGATGCTGTAAGAATGCTTTCAAAAAATTTGTTTGCAGACTGAGCAAATGCTATATATTTGGCATGGCTACCCTTTTGGCTTCAAACGAGCATAAATTCTTACACCTGCCTCTCATCCTACAAAAGCCCTGACTTTGCAAGTGTGGGGTAACAAATCATACCAGCAGGTGCTCAACTGTGGGTTGAAATGGGTTAACAGCTGTGTAGGAGGCTTAAAACTGGGTGAAACAGTCACTCTGTACACAAGGAGACTATTTCATATTACAGGTCATACATATGGCAAGACTGAGCGCGCGCACACACAAAATGCAAGGTAATTCTACTGAATCAGCAAGGTCTCAAGCAAAGATTACAAAGCAGACTGGGTTTTCAAGATGTGTTCAAGCTCTTTAAGTGCAAAGAAACAAGCAACCTTAAGTATTGTAGATGCAGTGGTCAGCCACAACTTGCTTCAGCAGATGCCAAAATCAGGATTACATTTTACTTCCCTTTTGACATCGCAAGCTGTTTAGCGCCATAAGCACAGAACTGGCAGAAACCAGTGAGACCAAAGTACATCCAACTGTCCTGAGAAGTCTAGCCAGTAGTGGTCTTCATGGAAGCACTGCAGCCAAAAAGCCATACCACTGAATTGAAAACAAGGCCAAGCAACTCAACTATGCAAGAAAACCTAGAACTGGGGTGCAGAAAAATAAAAGCAGGTGTTCTGGTCTGAGTCAAAACTTTAAATGTTTGGCTGTAGCAGGAGGCAGTTCAAAGGATTGGAAAGCAGTACAATTGTTTGCAATCAGCAGTGAAACATGGTGGAGGTTCCTTGCAAGATTGGGGCTGTGTTCTGCAAATGGAGTTTGAGATTTGGTCAGGATAGTGACCTCAATGCTGATAAATACAGGCAGAAATGTATGCATCAGGCCATTACCATCAAGGAGGCCCAAACTTCTGCAGCAGAACAACCCCAAACAAATGTACATATTCACCAGCACACCACAGATCTCAATATGGTCCATAAAAGATCACCTCAAAAGTGCAACATTTCAGAGCTGCATGTGATCGCATTGCACTTTTTCTGATCTTTTTGAATACAGTTTTGGACCATAGAGATCAGCGGGTGTGCTAGCAAATATGTACATGAGGTTTCCAGTCCCAGCTGGTCACTACAGCACCTGCTGTTGAGCCATATTTCCAGGAATGTGTGCAAAGAATATAGTTGGTCAACCCCAAACACATGGCCAGTGTCATTATGAATTACCTTCAGCATAAAGAACACGTTCTGGAAGTGACTTGGTCCCCACAGGGCCCTGATATCAACATTGCACCTGGGATTGCATAAGACAGGATGAGGCAGTCTACATCCTGAAGATCTGTGGTTCTCAAATATCTGAAACTACCTACCTGCTGAGTTTGATGCATATACAGGTGCATCTCAATAAATGGGAATATCAATTTTTTTTTTTTTTAATTTCAGTGTGAAACTTGTGTATATTCATTAGTTATGTATCTCAAACAATTTTTTTTGATATTTGATTATGGCTTACAGCTAGTGAATAAACCCAACATTCAGTATCTCAGAAAATTAGAATATTGTGGCTTCATGTCACTGTAATCAGCTAACTCCAACACTTGTAATGGTTTCCTGAGCCTTTAAATGGTCTCAGCCAGGTTCAGTGGATTACACAATCATGGGGAAGACTGACTTGAGTTGTCCAGATGTGTCATTGACACCCTCCACAAGGAGGTAAGTTGCTAAAGAAGCTGGCTGTTCAGAGTGCTGTATCCAGGAATGTTAATGAGAAACTGAGTGGAAGGAGGAAGGAAGTGGTAGAGAAAAGGTGTCCAACAGGGATATGCACAGGATTGTGAGGCAAAGGCCATTCAAGAATTTGGGGGAGATCCACAAGAAGTGGATTACAGTTGGTGCCAGTGCTTTAAGAGCCACAACAGATATAAGCAAGGCATGGGCTACAACTGTTGTGTTCCTTGTCTTCCTGGGATAAGAGAGGATTGGATTGTTGCTCAGAGGTCCAGTTCTTCCAGATGAAAGTAAATTTTGCATTTTCATTTGGAAATTGAGGTCCCAGTCTAGAGGAAGAATGGGGAGGCACAGAATTGAGTTGCATGAGGTGCAGTTTCCAGTCAGTGGTGGTTTGTTGAGCTGTCATCTGCTGGTGTTTGGTCCAGCAAATACCAGACCCAACAGTGCAGATGAGCTGAAGGCTGCCATCAAAGCAACCTGGGCTTCCATAACATCAGCAGCACCACAGGCTGATAGTTCATGTAAAAGGAGCTCTGACCTGATTGTGTACATACTGTACTTGGACTTTTCAGTAAGCCAACATTTCTGTATGAACCCTTTTTTTGGGTCTTATGTAAGCTAATTTTTGGAGATACTGAATTTTGGGTTGTCACTGGCTGTAAAGCCTCAAAATTTAAAGATGCTTAATCGCTAATCTGTAAAACTTCACTTTTTTTGTAATTTACTGAAATGTTACTTTGATTTTTCTAATTTCTAGATGCACCTGTACCTAGAATAGTTTGAAGGCAAAGGGTGGTCACATTTTTTTTTTTTTTAAATTTCTCCTAGTTTGTGTTAAACTTACAATTCACTCAAGCTTTCTTTACAGCATTTTTTCACTGTCCTAGAACTTTTTTTTTTTTCTCAAACTTCAGCAGGAGGTCTGGACTAGCTAGCACAAACTGGCTGAGGACCTGTTTACAAGGCAGGCAAACCATTTTAAAAAATGTAGCTATGCCTAGCTTTCCTGCCCATGGCAACTCCTTTAAAATGAACCATAAAGGCACTTTATTTATAGGCCACCTGTAGCATCCCTTCCCTGACCCACCCCCTGAATGTTGAAGCTGACCATTTTAAACTTGGTTTAGAACTAGAACAATCAGCATAGGGAAAATGCAGCAACCCTAGTTAAGTTAAACTATAGACTTTCTTTAGGCAGCTACCTGGACAAATGGTCAGTTCAGACTTGGGTTAAGGGCACATCAGTCTGGGGCTAGTGGAAGTAAATGTCCTGGGAGTAAAAAATGGATCTAGTGTCTGGTCAGTAGGGGAAATGCTTTTGATTTGTTCTATTACAGGCTGGAGATACCATGTGAAAGTCACTGTTAGCTATGCAGGCAGTAGCTATAAGTGGAACACTTGGCGTATCACTCTGTGGGAAGAAGGAATGTACTCACCCTTTTACAATATACAGGTAAATGTTGTTCTATTCTTTTGGTCACCTAATATTTACAGATTGTATTCAAGTGTGGCATTTTTTTTTTTTCCTCCATCCTGCAGTGGCTTAATCTTCATCCTGTCTTCAAAGACATATACAGCTTTTGTTGATGCTGAAGTGGATATCCTCCCTGTGCAGAGCGTGATCTTCACATGGACAAAAATATTCCCTCCTTTGATAGAACAATTACTGGGTGCTTCATCTGTGACTGTGCAATATGGACATGGAAAAATGTATGTAGGCATTCACTGCATGTCTGACTATTGTAGATTAATGAGGATTACCTGTGCCAGTGTGACCTCCATGTTGGACAAAGTGACCTCTTGCAACTCAATGAGGGAGCTGCAGAGTGGTTTATAGTCCATATGAGTGCAACACAACTCAGATCTACTTGTAAAACACAAACATGCACAAAATATAAAGCCTCCAATGAACTTCATAAAAGTGATTAAACACAAAGATGGCAAATGGTCACTTGATCAGACAAGTCTATGAGTAAGTCACTGATCACATGACAAAGGCAGGCAGGGCCATGCATCATGCCTGTAAGTGAGTTTGGCCAACATAGACATGTAGTCATCCTTAAAGGGGCAATATGACTAAAGGGTGGGTTTTTCAAAATTATCTTTCTGGTGCACTTGATGTTACAAGTGCACTGTGGTGTGTGTGTGTGTGTGTGGGTGTGTGTGGTTTACCATTGATTTGGCTAGTTATTACAAGCTGGTTGGAGTATTGCCACGTTCTGTACCCAGTCTTGCAAACGCATGTTGCACCTTGCATGTGTGGTTTTTTTTTTTTTTTTTTTTTTGGGTCAATTCCTGGGCAAAGCAGCAGCATTGAGGCAGAGCACATCTGCAAGTGTTTATGGAGCATGCATGTTAAAAAGCACTTTTTGAAGGAATTTTGGGACTTCAGGACTTTGTTTATTTGCTACAAATTATCTGTGCATTTAAATGTATATAAAGTTCACATTGGAGGCTTTATAGGAGTATGTGGGGTTTTGTCCATCCCCAAGGGGACTAGTGTAGAATTTCCACCAGAACTCCATTTTACAACTAGGCCTATTAAATAAAAAAAAAAAAAAAAAAAAAAACTCACTGTCTCAAATGCCAGACATTCAGGTTTTTGGACAGACTTGCTGTTCCTTAATGCCCTATATGGAATAGAAACTTCTCTTAAAACTGAAGGTTTGTTCTGTGTTGTAAATAACCCACTACAGCTGAGAACCTAATTGGCCAGCTTTTGTGTATTTAAATATGGGCTTCTGACTATGGGGGCATGTTTCTTATTGAAGACAAGTGAACATGGTGGTTATGGGGGGGGGGGGGGATACAAAATGCTTAAGTTGCCCTTTTTAACCTTTATTTTTTTCCTATTAACATATCCCACAGGGGCAGCTATGCTTCCTGCAGACCTTAGAGTGCAGTAAATGGGTGCTTGATCCATATTGCCATTTCCACACTATCTATGGAAGAATGGCAGAGCTCAATCTTGTAGCTGGAAACACAATGGTGACTTGTAATAGTCAGACTTCT